GTGCAGAACTTCCCAGGTTAAGGTACCTTTAGACCGCGATATACGAAGTTCGTGTCGCGGGCGCTTGCAGGCATTGCTGTTAGACTGACTGCACATAGGGGTACTACTGGCATTGATGCGCTATATCTTGAATTTTCTCCGCAAGTACTGAGTTTCAAAACCTGTCCTTTTGCCAGTTTGTTGGCCTCATCACAAGCTTCCGAACAAGGTATAGTTTGTGCAGAACTTCCCAGGTTAAGGTACCTTTAGACCGCGATATACGAAGTTCGTGTCGCGGGCGCTTGCAGGCATTGCTGTTAGACTGACTGCACATAGGGGTACTACTGGCATTGATGCGCTATATCTTGAATTTTCTCCGCAAGTACTGGGTTTCAAAACCTGTCCTTTTGCCAGCTTGTTGGCCTACTCATTAGCTTTCGAACAAGGTATAGTTTGTGCAGAACTTCCCAGGTTAAGGTACCTTTAGACCGCGATATACGAAGTTCGTGTCGCGGGCGCTTGCAGGCATTGCTGTTAGACTGACTGCACATAGGGGTACTACTGGCATTGATGCGCTATATCTTGAATTTTCTCCGCAAGTACTGAGTTTCAAAACCTGTCCTTTTGCCAGTTTGTTGGCCTCATCACAAGCTTCCCAACAAGGTATAGTTTGTGCAGAACTTCCCAGGTTAAGGTACCTTTAGACCGCGATATACGAAGTTCGTGTCGCGGGCGCTTGCAGGCATTGCTGTTAGACTGACTGCACATAGGGGTACTACTGGCATTGATGCGCTATATCTTGAATTTTCTCCGCAAGTACTGGGTTTCAAAACCTGTCCTTTTGCCAGCTTGTTGGCCTACTCATTAGCTTTCGAACAAGGTATAGTTTGTGCAGAACTTCCCAGGTTAAGGTACCTTTAGACCGCGATATACGAAGTTCGTGTCGCGGGCGCTTGCAGGCATTGCTGTTAGACTGACTGCACATAGGGGTACTACTGGCATTGATGCGCTATATCTTGAATTTTCTCCGCAAGTACTGAGTTTCAAAACCTGTCCTTTTGCCAGTTTGTTGGCCTCATCATTAGCTTCCGAACAAGGTATAGTTTGTGCAGAACTTCCCAGGTTAAGGTACCTTTAGACCGCGATATACGAAGTTCGTGTCGCGGGCGCTTGCAGGCATTGCTGTTAGACTGACTGCACATAGGGGTACTACTGGCATTGATGCGCTATATCTTGAATTTTCTCCGCAAGTACTGGGTTTCAAAACCTGTCCTTTTGCCAGCTTGTTGGCCTACTCATTAGCTTTCGAACAAGGTATAGTTTGTGCAGAACTTCCCAGGTTAAGGTACCTTTAGACCGCGATATACGAAGTTCGTGTCGCGGGCGCTTGCAGGCATTGCTGTTAGACTGACTGCACATAGGGGTACTACTGGCATTGATGCGCTATATCTTGAATTTTCTCCGCAAGTACTGAGTTTCAAAACCTGTCCTTTTGCCAGTTTGTTGGCCTCATCACAAGCTTCCGAACAAGGTATAGTTTGTGCAGAACTTCCCAGGTTAAGGTACCTTTAGACCGCGATATACGAAGTTCGTGTCGCGGGCGCTTGCAGGCATTGCTGTTAGACTGACTGCACATAGGGGTACTACTGGCATTGATGCGCTATATCTTGAATTTTCTCCGCAAGTACTGGGTTTCAAAACCTGTCCTTTTGCCAGCTTGTTGGCCTACTCATTAGCTTTCGAACAAGGTATAGTTTGTGCAGAACTTCCCAGGTTAAGGTACCTTTAGACCGCGATATACGAAGTTCGTGTCGCGGGCGCTTGCAGGCATTGCTGTTAGACTGACTGCACATAGGGGTACTACTGGCATTGATGCGCTATATCTTGAATTTTCTCCGCAAGTACTGAGTTTCAAAACCTGTCCTTTTGCCAGTTTGTTGGCCTCATCACAAGCTTTCCAACAAGGTATAGTTTGTGCAGAACTTCCCAGGTTAAGGTACCTTTAGACCGCGATATACGAAGTTCGTGTCGCGGGCGCTTGCAGGCATTGCTGTTAGACTGACTGCACATAGGGGTACTACTGGCATTGATGCGCTATATCTTGAATTTTCTCCGCAAGTACTGGGTTTCAAAACCTGTCCTTTTGCCAGCTTGTTGGCCTACTCATTAGCTTTCGAACAAGGTATAGTTTGTGCAGAACTTCCCAGGTTAAGGTACCTTTAGACCGCGATATACGAAGTTCGTGTCGCGGGCGCTTGCAGGCATTGCTGTTAGACTGACTGCACATAGGGGTACTACTGGCATTGATGCGCTATATCTTGAATTTTCTCCGCAAGTACTGAGTTTCAAAACCTGTCCTTTTGCCAGTTTGTTGGCCTCATCACAAGCTTCCCAACAAGGTATAGTTTGTGCAGAACTTCCCAGGTTAAGGTACCTTTAGACCGCGATATACGAAGTTCGTGTCGCGGGCGCTTGCAGGCATTGCTGTTAGACTGACTGCACATAGGGGTACTACTGGCATTGATGCGCTATATCTTGAATTTTCTCCGCAAGTACTGGGTTTCAAAACCTGTCCTTTTGCCAGCTTGTTGGCCTACTCATTAGCTTTCGAACAAGGTATAGTTTGTGCAGAACTTCCCAGGTTAAGGTACCTTTAGACCGCGATATACGAAGTTCGTGTCGCGGGCGCTTGCAGGCATTGCTGTTAGACTGACTGCACATAGGGGTACTACTGGCATTGATGCGCTATATCTTGAATTTTCTCCGCAAGTACTGAGTTTCAAAACCTGTCCTTTTGCCAGCTTGTTGGCCTATCACAAGCTTCCGAACAAGGTATAGTTTGTGCAGAACTTCCCAGGTTAAGGTACCTTTAGACCGCGATATACGAAGTTCGTGTCGCGGGCGCTTGCAGGCATTGCTGTTAGACTGACTGCACATAGGGGTACTACTGGCATTGATGCGCTATATCTTGAATTTTCTCCGCAAGTACTGGGTTTCAAAACCTGTCCTTTTGCCAGCTTGTTGGCCTACTCATTAGCTTTCGAACAAGGTATAGTTTGTGCAGAACTTCCCAGGTTAAGGTACCTTTAGACCGCGATATACGAAGTTCGTGTCGCGGGCGCTTGCAGGCATTGCTGTTAGACTGACTGCACATAGGGGTACTACTGGCATTGATGCGCTATATCTTGAATTTTCTCCGCAAGTACTGAGTTTCAAAACCTGTCCTTTTGCCAGTTTGTTGGCCTCATCACAAGCTTCCCAACAAGGTATAGTTTGTGCAGAACTTCCCAGGTTAAGGTACCTTTAGACCGCGATATACGAAGTTCGTGTCGCGGGCGCTTGCAGGCATTGCTGTTAGACTGACTGCACATAGGGGTACTACTGGCATTGATGCGCTATATCTTGAATTTTCTCCGCAAGTACTGGGTTTCAAAACCTGTCCTTTTGCCAGCTTGTTGGCCTACTCATTAGCTTTCGAACAAGGTATAGTTTGTGCAGAACTTCCCAGGTTAAGGTACCTTTAGACCGCGATATACGAAGTTCGTGTCGCGGGCGCTTGCAGGCATTGCTGTTAGACTGACTGCACATAGGGGTACTACTGGCATTGATGCGCTATATCTTGAATTTTCTCCGCAAGTACTGGGTTTCAAAACCTGTCCTTTTGCCAGCTTGTTGGCCTACTCATTAGCTTTCGAACAAGGTATAGTTTGTGCAGAACTTCCCAGGTTAAGGTACCTTTAGACCGCGATATAGAGAGCAAGTTCTGTAAAACTTATCCGTGTTGTAAATTTACAATTCCCGTCACTTGCTCAGGCTCCGTTTGGAATCACGAAACGGTCAGATTGCATTATGCGACGCTCAAAATGTTGTCCACATGGTCCGCAATGAAGCAGAAATCACATCCGGTATGGAACGTGAATTTCTATGGGAAGTTTTCGGATAGCATTTGCGCACATTGTCTAACTGCGGTCTTGAACAGCTGCAGCCAGATGCTTTATACATAGGTCATAGGCCACTTCATTCACAAGATTATGTGAAGCTCATCAGAGTATCCCAGCGTCCTGTTTGCAGGCGGGGGGGGGGGGGGGGGGTACGAGCGAATGGTCAAGGGTAGCTCAGGCTCCGTTTCGAAGGGTCAATTGCGTATGACGCTCAAAATTTGTTCACATGGTCCGCAATAAAAAAGAAATCACATCCGGTATGGAATGTGTGCATTTCTATAGGAGGTTTTCGGATAGTATTTGTGCGCATTATCTAACTGCGATCCGGTCTTGATCTTTCAACAGCTGCAACCAGTACATAGGTCACTAAGCTCATCCAGCAACCTCGTCTTCAGGGTGTCGAGCAGTACGCGCCCACCACTACCTATCGGAAACGATTTTGGAAATAAAGTAAGCACTGGGGAAGAAGTTGGGGCGCCCCCGTACGATAGTCTGGTTCCCCGACCTGACAATTTCCCCCGACAAAGAGTCATCAGGGTGCATACCTGCAAATAAACTCCCATAGACACTAGTGCTAAATGCCCATACTTCAAAGTTCTTTTAAAAATACTCAAAACTCTCACAGATATTCAAGCTGCACAGAAAAATGATGATCAATGTGTCATCTTTCATTTTCTTTTCAATTTATGGTGGGTTGACCATTGACTTTTCGAGATATTTTCACGCAAAGAAGACGACCCCTATTTTCCCCAAAGAGGAAAAGTAGCCATCTTGAAAAACGATCCCTCCACAACATGGCAAAATAGCGCCACTTTCGAGCCCAATAGCATCCAAAATGCTCAGAATTGGAAGCCCCAAGTCCGGGGCAGAGGTTCACTACCATATCTCTTCAATTCCCCAATTTTACGGCGCTCAGAACTCTCTAATATAGAATATTTTGAGAATATACTTTTATTCATGAGCTTGGCGGATCGATTTACCGGTGTGCACCCATCAGGAATAGGCAGAATCCTTTGGTCTGGGAACCAGACTACCCCATACGAGCGAACAAGCGCGTTTACCCACCAAACGCTAGGGGCGCCCTTTATAGCGTTTCATCGGGCGCTGTACAAAAAGATGTTTGTATGTGCTAGTACAGTCCGAGGATGAGCACAATTTTTATTCCGATCGATAACTAGGAATCACAATTCACAACCCATTACCTGCCACTTTGCCACTGCAGATTTATAATAAGGTACAGTTGATGTAATCATGTATCATTACATTTTTCAGTTTATCGTGCTTTTTATGTATTTTAGCCTTTTGGGGGGATAATCTTTAAAATTGATTGACTGATATTTCATGATCATTTAATAATTGTTCATGTCCTGGCACTTCCGGGTTTCGTATTAAAATAAAGTGTCACTGTCAACCCCATGATTTAGGCGTGTGTGTAGTTGCGGACCCCGTTCCTATAAGTATAACTTAACGAAAATCTACTTCTAAACTTTGGGACTCAGAAGAGGGCGATAGTTAATGTTGAATACCTGCACTGCTGCAGCATTAATTTTGTGGAAACAGGGCAGGGTTTCGATTTTTGAGGGAAATTATGGCACTAACTGGCATTATGGGTAGCGAGTCCAGCGGTAGGGCGATTTTTCGCCTTTCAATCTGACACCACACTAAAACGTTCTTTTTTAAATCTTTGATTTCTAGTAAAATACTGCCCCAAAGTCAAAGAAAACTCACCAAAATGAAGAGGAAACTTGTTTGTTTGATTGATGCCATTTAATTTGAAACTTACGTACAATTTGAAGGAAAATTTGATCGTTGAACTTCTATTTTGCGAGAGAGACTTTTTTCGTGGACGCGGCCATTTTGTTTTTTTGAACACGTAATCGTGTTCTCGTTTTTACTCATTGTTCGCGCGCGAGAGATCGGGATGAGGAGTTTTTCGTTGGGAGATTTGGACAGAGAATGAATTCAGCTTTCTGGTAGTACCAAACTTGGCGATTTTAGTGCAATTTTAAGATAAGAAAATGAATTTTTAGTAAAAAAATTGCCAAGCAAAAATTGCTTTTTGGGTTCAAAACTTGAGCTTTTCTTCAGGAAAACCTTATTAAAATGGGGATTACGGAGCTTGTACTTTGATTTTTGGAAACTTTGGAGTCTTCCAAAGCCAATGGAACCTTAAAAATAATAAATTTTTATGTCGCACTCACGCCGCAAAGGACTTTCAGGAAAGGGGTCAAATTTCATGGTACCTGTCAAATGTGTTCTGGGCCATGCGCACTTTATAATGTGCAACCTATCAGTTCAACCAGGCCAAGAAAGTTGGAAATAATATTTAAAAAGTGAGAAGACACAATTTATCAATAAAATGTATTAATTAATATGCACATGTATGGCTGCATGTTTTGTACAACTTTGTATGTAAGTTCTTTAATCACAATGACTACAGATTTGGTAGATAAAAATGTATTTTGTATTAAATAGGGCCTACTGGGGTAGTTTACTACATTCATTTGGCAGTGCTCAAAAAAAATTTAAAATAAATCTCATATTACATCACCCAAGTATTCTTGAAAAATGAATGCCTTATCCTTAACACTGACGTTGATAACAACTGCATGTCTTCATTCAGTACCTTTGTGCATAGGACCCTAACATTTCTTACAGAGTTGTGCATACTTGCAAAGTGTGCACTCATCTTATATGCTTGACTTATCTGTGAAATCATTTGTTGAACTAACAAGTTAGGTTATAAAATTATTTTGTGATTTTGTTTTCATTAGAACTTGAAATTTACAACACTGAATACACAATTTGGTCAGACAAATCTCCATTGTATTGTGTTGCTCAATAAGCCTGCGTCATTGTTCATCCAGACTGGTTCAACATTACGTCGGTGATGACAGTATCTATTTCTACCAGCTTCTGAAGGACTACTTAGTAAGAGGGAGACCTGCAAATATTAATAAAATACCACATATTAATAACAAATTAATAAATCAAAAAAAATTAATAACAAATATTAATAAAATATCACATGGTGTTACCGCGAACCGAAACGAAAATATTAATAAAGTAATCAGTATGTATGTAAGTTGCATGTAATAAACATGGAGAAATCGCCATGGTTCAAACCTCCTTAACATTTGGTTGGTCTTATAAAGCTTTTAACTCCACCTATGAAACAGGTATGAGGCTAATTTAAGCACTGTATTTGGTAGCACTGTATTTGGTAGTTCCTGCTCTGTCTGTTCGTATCAAATCTATTTTATGTTTCTTTGAAAATACATAAGTAATTGCTTTAGAAAGTTTTTGGAGTCTGAGTGAAAATGCTGACAGAAAACTACCCCCTAAAAATTGTCATTAAAATTGTCATAACTCTTCACCAGAAGAAGCTACGAAGATAATTTTAGCACCGTTGTAATCCTCAGGTTATAAGCTTTTCAATGATGCCAAATTTGTCTGTGAAATCTTAAAAAATGCAAAAAGTGCCGTCCTCCCTATTATGGGTAAAAACTTCTAGAATTAGAAAGCTTCTCTCCGTCAGCCTTCTAGCATAATGATTTTTCGGGGGTCAGCACTCTATGGCTTTTGGAAATGCCCTTTGATAGACGAAATACCTTCGTCTGAAATTCCACTTTCTGAAACACAAATCCACCAAAAAAAAGTTGAGCTGGTTAATCTGTAACTCTGAAATGTTTTAGAACGATTGACATTTGGATCATGGGACAGTTTTTTGGGTGGAAGATCTGAGTTTTTACACACCAGCCGCGTGTTTCCGATCCGACGAATACAGCTCGGTCATGTTCATGTGTGGTTATGTACGTTGCGCGTGCGCTGATCTTCACGTGATCTCAGCAAGTCAACTCTACATTCGGCTTGACCATTTGGGATGGAGGGGGGATTGCATGCTTTGCATCGCGAAACAGTACATGTTCATGATGTACGTCATTTTGGCGCACTGAATGCACTGCGCTGTGTCGGTACAAGTTGTCAGTTTTGGTGGACTGTTTACTGATGGATCTTTCCATCCTTTTTTGTCAAATTTAAAAACCTCATTCAGGATACAATAATTGGGTGCATTATTGTCAATATCATTTGTTTTTCTTAATTCTGTTGCTCAAAGTGTCGGAGAATCTGGCCGGTTTTTCCAGAAGAGGCAGAGGTACCAGTCATTGTGGCCCAATTGACTGCATTGTCTCATGACTTGATTACCAGCTAGACGAGGAATACATTCAAGATGACGAGTGTAACGTTGATTGATACATCGAGGGCCGATCCCTCCATCATCCGTTTGGCAGTGGAGATGCCAGGAAAGCCTGGACAACTCTACTGTTGGGACCAGGTGGGTCTGTTTAAGGCAAAAAAAAATAATAAGTCGGTCTCTGGTCAGCGCGCGCGCGTTGATTTTAATCATGCGCGTCAATCTTTTTTTCCCCCAAAATGTTCCGCGGTAGCTCCAACAGCGCCCTCTATTTCCGCACTTCCTCAATTTGTTTTACCAAAGAGCACCAAGGAATGGGAAATTGCACCAAGGCAAATGATCAAAAGCACCAAGGCAAATTATGGAGGACACCAATGTACATGAGGACACCAAAAAGCAAAATAGTACCCACCTTGTCTGTACAATCCAAGCTTGAAGGAGCAAAAAACCAAAAACCAAAAGAAGCCGCATGGCCGCGTCAATTCCGGAACTTTGGTCTGACCAGAGACCGAATATTATTTTTTTTGCCTAACGGTGTTTAACAAAATGTCAGGATCAGGTAAAGTGCTGTAGTCAAGTCTAGCACAAGTTAACCCCATAAATGTGCCTCAAAAATACTGGACTTTCTCAGTATTGTGAGCCACTGACCAGTTACAAGCAAAATGTCCTACAAGTCTTTTTTTCTGTATTTGAAATCTCTAAAGACTGTTTTTTCTTTGGGCTCCGGTACCCCCTCAACGGTGAGAAAAGGAGAGTTGGGGGAGACCAGTTGGAGTGACATTCGAACGCATTCCGATGTCACCTGACACTCACGCGTAGATGCTTCGGCTTTCTGTAATTTGAATTGAATCTTAATCTGTGTATTCCGTTCCAAACGCACAGCTAAAGTGTGTGAAGACATCAGCGCGCGAACCAGAGTGAGCCAGAACGATTACAACTGACGTCACACTTTTGCACTCTATTGCGAAGGGTGCGGCTGCAACGTGCTTGAGCCGATGGCATGTAACGGCGCCTTAGTAAAAGTAAGAAATGGTAGTGTCCCAGTACTGGCTACCAGAACCGTCACTGTAATTTCTGATTGATGTGTATTGAGTATTGTTCCAGATACTTAAGAATGTCATGAATTGTTTACATTTTGTTCATGATTCTTACAGAACAAAAGTCTGACCACTATCGCGGAGGAGGTGTGCCACATGTACAACATTGGCAATCCTGGAGACTATGCGTTACAGCACACTGACGTTAAACTGACCTACATCACTGAGGACAATCGCAGTGAACTCACAAACGGTATCGTCCTGAAGCTGACTGATTCTCCTGTGAGTTGGGATTACTGTGAATTTCTGTTCCTAATTTATCATTCTGATAATTACCTGAGAACCCTGAGCCCGAGTTGTAATTGAGTCAGTCTCAAGTCCATCACAAGCCATCACAAGGCATTACTTTGTTCTTCTTCTTCTTTTACTTTGGATTGACTTGTGATTGACTTGTGATTGACTTGTGATTGACTTGTGATTGACTTGTGATTGGCTTGTGATTGACTTGTGATTGACTTGTGATTGACTTGTGATTGACTTGTGATTGACTTGTGACTGGCTTGTGATTGACTTGTGATTGTCATTTTTGAGTGACTTGTGATGACTCCCGATGCCGATGGATTCAGTTATAACGATGGACAGTAAAATTCATCCCTAACATTATGTTGTGGATAAGCAACATTTAGTACTACATGTATATATCAAAGAAATTTTTCACACACACAAAAAATCAAGTAAAATTACATCTGTCCCAAACTCATCATCTAGTGCAAAATGAATGCTACTTTTCGTGTCTAAAAACAGATGTTGACTTTTCCCATCTTGTGCTGCTGTGCGAACCCCTACCAAGTAAGTTTGGGCGCGAACTATAGTTTGACTAACTTTGCTCAAACAAAGGTTGGTTGGACTACTCTAGTCGACTATTTGGAACCAGACCAAAGGCCACAGTTCCATCACCGGTTACCAAAAGCCGTGCGCATCATGAATCACAGCAGAGAGCCAAGACCACAAAGTTTCATGACGATTGAAACTTTGCTATTAGTGCGCTGGCGTAGTTCATGTTACAAATCACCATTAGACGACTATGGTCGTTGCCTGAACTTGCTCTATGATGAACTGCGTGTTAATTGCCCCTTCTTTTAAAACATTTGGTGTTATTTTTGAATGATACAAGCTGATCTGTCAGTGAAGATGCTGTCAGTGTTCAATTCTGCTTCTTTCTTTTGATAAACGCAGGGTAAAACTGCACAGGACGTGTTCAGCAATCTCCAGTCAGAAAATCCCGAGGATACCCAGCAGGCATTGCAGAAACTGTCCAAGGCCTCAGCAGACATTACCTTTGCCCAGGAATTCTGCAATCGGGGCGGAGGAGATTTGCTCATCGGAATGGTTGAGGAAGGCAGTGGGTAAGTATATGTGCATTTCTCAGGGCATTTTAACTAGGATCCTACTTTATCCTACAAAATCTACCAGAGTGTAGGGTCCCAATTGTCCGAAAATCCTCCAAAATCCACCAAAGCGTAAGGTCCCAGTAGTCCCAAATCCTTCAAAATCTAACAAAGTGAAGGGTCTCAGTAGTCCTAACAATACTTCAAAATCAAACAAAGTGTAGGGTCCCAGTGGTCCTTCATCCTCCAAAATCTACGAAAGCGTAGGATCCCAGTTGTCTTAAATCCTTTCAAATCTACCAAAGTGTAGGGCCCCAGTTCTCCTACATCCTTCAAAATCTACCAATGGGTAGGGCACCAGTGGCACATGCTTGTATCCATTCCTTTGTACATGTAAAGTAATAGTGGTTTGGCTCTACCTCTGGTCGGCTTTTAAAGGACTAGGAAGGTTTGTCATAGACATAAGATTCGGTGATGATTCTTCTTTTTATTAATTGAACAATGTGCAATACATCATCCTCCCTTTTATTTTACAATTTTCTTGCAGGCAAGGGGAAGCGCTTGCTTTCACACTGGCAAGTTTCCTTGAGCTCATGGAACATTCCATCATTCCATGGGAGAACATCACCATGAAGTTTATCAAGAGGGTAAGTGGTGATCTGTTATATTGTCTTTATTTTGAAGCAGTATAGAATGAGAGTGTAAATTGAGAAGAGCAAAGTCAAGTCTGCCATGAGCCAATATGGCCCATTAGGCCAGCGTTTATTTCCTGTTTCAGTAGCATGAGAAAAGACTGAGACTATTTCTATTCCCCCTGGATGGGATGCTAGTCCATGGCAGGTTACTCCCAGCTAATGACGGTACCCGTTTATACTCCTGGATGGAGAGAGGCAAGTGGAATGAACTGGCTTGCCCAAGGACATAACATATGACCAGCAGCTGGATTTGAGCCCTTAACCCTCTGATCACGAGTCATGAACCCTAACCATTCGGCCACACTCCCCACTAGTGAGTAGTTGAGAAGAAACCCTTTGAAATTATTGGCCATTATTACCCTCCTAGGCAAACATGCCTTTTGTGCCTAGTTGTCCTTTCAGTCAAAATCAAACAAGTGACAGTTTTCAACTGTCCCAACCTACGTAAGGCAGGATTGGCTGGCTGGGACTGTTTAAGTAACTTGATACAGCTATGCTTTGACCCAGGTGAGTGATAAAACAGCTGTGGCCACAAATTGCCTGCTTTGTCTGTTGACCCAGTTTGCTAGTCACAGTGCTTGCTTGACATATGATCTGACTGCTGTGACTAGCCTTGTTAAAAGTATAGCAGGGGAAGTGGAAGTCAATTTTGACTGTCTGTGACTGTCTAAATAGCAGGAGGGTTAGTGTTGAATTTAAAGGCCATCACAAGTCCATCACAAGTCATTCAATGATGAATGGACTCGTGATGTACCTGTGACCAGAGTTGTTATGGACTCAATTATAACACTGGCAATAATGGAGTATCTTTGTCTGTATTTCATTCTTGATGTTAGATTGCATCCTACGTCAATCGCACCCATTCGGCAGTCCTCCAGCCCGGTGATAGTACAGTCACTCTCAAGGCGCTGGCTATACTAGAGAGTCTGATCCTTAGCAGGTAGGTTTGAATGAATTCAGGGGTAGGGGAAGGGGATGGGTAGGATGTGGATGGGGTGGGGTGGGAGCGGGAGTAGGTTGGCTTTGAATTGGGTGGGAGTGACATGAGGTGAGACTGGGGGTGGGGTATCTTAGGTCTAATCAGTATGGTTTATGGAAGTATGGGGAAGGCTTTCGACTGGTTTGCATTGCTGCAAAGAGTCGTGCTTGTTTGGAAGCTTGGATTATAAAGTCTGTCATTGAATGTTAAATGCCACGTTGTTTTCTAATAATACCCAGGAAAACCTCGGCATCTCATGCGCTTTTAAATATAATTGCTGTTCTCCTTTAGGACTTTTGATATAATTTTGCGTTTTTTTTCATTTTGGATGTTCACGTAAATTGTGTCTGAAATTGGTGTCTTGATGACTGTGTCTATAAAA